CCACCTGAGGATATATTTCTTACGATCAGTATAACGCATTTGAAATATATACATTTTGAAACTGAATTGTAAATTTGAAACTCATATTTGAAGTATGAAACTTTTTTCTGAAAATTTTAACCCTGTGGACTCCCTAGTCGGCCCCAGTCTAGCATATAAGATGTGCACCGCAACACCGTTGTCGGACCCAGTTCGACATATAATAGTAGAAGAGCCACTGAACTATTTGACTAACCTGTTTTCACAAAGCCAGAAATTTTTTTAATGATATTTTATTATCGGCCCATTAAGAAAATACCATTCTGGCAGTCATTCCGCGGTTGCGTCATCATCCCTTCAATTTGTGAAAATGTAAAAAGAATTTTTTTATAACTTGCTCGCACAAGGCTCAAATTTTGAGGGTGTCTTCTTTTAACTGTTCAGAAAGCATATGTAAAAAGCCAGCCCATTCTGACGGTTGCAAGGGTCTGCCAGACGAGTACATAATAGTCACGACGCGCAAGGGTGTGGGCGCATTGCCATACATAATTGACTAATACCCTTGTATTTGAATAATTTATATGCCATTTTGAAGGTCATTTTGAAAACATCCGTTATACCAAACTTCAACTTTGTATCTCACCTTATGGCCGAGATATCATTGAAAATATGCCAAAGTGGCCCCTTTTTCAAACTCAATTTTTGGCGTAACCATAAAAGATATCGAAAAAAAAATTACGTGATTCTACTCATATTGGCTTAAACCACATAATGTATAGTAATACATGCTAAATAATCCTTTATTATTAGCTAAAAAGGATAAAATAATTTTTCAATTAATGTTTTCGGACAGTGCGTTTTGTTTAATTACTTTATTATTAGCGTTATTTAAAAGCTTATTGTTTTCTCTTTTAGTACTGCAAATATGGTTTAAATCAAATTTGTGGAACACTTTGAAAAATTGAAGAAACCAGAACCAGTACACCCGCGCGTAACGCTAATAGCCCGCATAGAATTCGTTTGGTCGGATGTGCGATGCGTTACGCGCGGGTGTACTGGTTCTGGTTTCTTCAATTTTTCAAAGTGTTCCACAAATTTGATTTAAACCATATTTGCAGTACTAAAAGAGAAAACAATAAGCTTTTAACTTTGGCATATTTTCAATGATATCTCGGTCATAAGGTGAGATACAAAGTTGAAGTTTGGTATAACGGATGTTTTCAAAATGACCTTCAAAATGGCATATAAATTATTCAAATACAAGGGTATTAGTCAATTATGTATGGCAATGCGCCCACACCCTTGCGCGTCGTGACTATTATGTACTCGTCTGGCAGACCCTTGCAACCGTCGGAATGGGCTGGCTTTTTACATATGCTTTCTGAACAGTTAAAAGAATACACCCCCAAAATTTGAGCCTTGTGCGAGCAAGTTATAAAAATTTTTTTTTTTACATTTTCACAAATTGAAGGGATGATGACGCAACCGCGGAATGACTGCCAGAATGGTATTTTCTTAATGGGCCGATAATAAAATATGATTAAAAAAATTTCTGGCTTTGTGAAAACAGGTTAGTCAAATAGTTCACTGGCTCTTAGACTATAACATGTGGACCTCAACTCCTTTGTTGGACCCAATCCGACAATACTTTATCATTCCAGACCGTTAACAAATATGAAAAGCCAACAACTTCCGTGATGACGCGGAACCGTATAAGTAAACTTTAAGAATTAAAAATGTTGGTACGAATCCCAATAAAATTGTAACAAAATGAGTACTCATTTTTAAAAAATTCGTCAGATATGTGATAATTTGATGTGCATATGTCTAATGATAATTTTTGACCGCCAAATATTTTTTTTACTTTTTCTTCTATAATGCCAAAACCGTTAGACCTTACTAGGCCTTACCAAAAATTTCATCAATTCTACATTTTGTCAGTACAATTAAAATATTTTTTGAATCATTTAAATCGGGTACTTCATTCTTTCAAAAGCTGAATTACCGTTTTTGGCACCATTCAAATCGGTTGATTCGTGCGCCCGAAATCGTGGACAAAAAAACTGTATCCAAACATACACATGCACACACACAGTGTGCTAAGGCGTCAGTAGTTAAGACGGAGTCTTGCGGAGGCCCAAAACAAACCAGAAGGATATTACTAACATCAGTGGTTACTTCGGTGCTTACATATAGTATCTCCATAAGGGCTGATGCTCTCAAAACTTAAAAAAAACTAGGAGAATGGCATGACCTATATATCGTCGGAGTGCTTTAAGAGTTGCTTGCGCACTTCGCACAATATCGGAGAAAGCATTGTGGTTTATTTCAGGAACTCTGCATCTCTTTGTCTTAGCAGAGAAAATGCAGACAATTTACCATCGTAGACATCAACAACTGAGTCATGAAAAGTTGAGAATAGAAGAACGGCGGAATAGCATTGACCGCTGGCAGTGAAGTGCAGATGGACGCATCGTCTCAATCCAAATATCAAAGCCGGGCAAAATCGCGAACATGGAAATGTAAATTATTACACTACGCAAATATTATCTGAGCACGGCTGTTTTCGACCCTACATAAACCGCTTCAAGCACGATAGCTCGCCTGATTGCCCTAATTGTTTGGGCGAAATCGAAGATGCTGAGCACATGTTGTTCGTGTGCCCGCGATTTAGTGCTCTACGGGACGATGTAGAAGAGATATTGAGGCGAAGAATTACTGCAGATACTGTTGTGGAAGTGATGATAGCAACTGAAGCTGCTTGGAATCTGCCATAGAGAGATTTGCGAGAGATGTGCTAGTTGACCTACGTTCTATGGAAAGAGAAAAGGCAGATGGGACTTCGTTCATTTAAAAGATGAGTACAAAATCAAGGTAAGAATGATAACATTCTAGATCCTCCCCCCACAAAGTAATGTCTAACAGCGGTTTCTGTGGGCAAGGGCAAAGCGGAGGTTTTAGTCGGTATTATACCCAGGCGGTATTGAGTCCGATATACCCTGACAAGAAACGAGTCTGGGATACATGAATGCATTTCCTTCGCTATACAAAAAAAACACACTCACATACATCAATTTTTTTCTAAGGTATGCCAAAATGTTTAGAAACCTTTGAAACGTAAAGATATGCAAAAAATTTCATTTTCGATTTTTTGTGATTACTATAACTTACCCTACGGGAAGTTAATTATGTTAAAGTTTAAAAAATTATAACAGGTTTGATTGAGCTATTAAAAAGGATTGATATATTCGTTCTAGATAAATATCAAATATCAAACAGTATCAAAGACAAATTTGATGTTTTAATAGACGACAAGATTTTATAGTTATTGTTCGATATTCTAGCTCGTTAGGCGTAAAATTTATAGATCATGCATAGGAATCATGACCGAATAGGACGATCCAAGCTGCACTACCTAAGTAACCAGTACCATGCACACACATGGATAGATATATAACTTAATATACAAGTTATATATAGATATATAACTTAATAACACACATAGATGTAAGACTTAATAAAAACAGAAGCATATTTTCGAATGATTCAGATAATGGCTGTATAATTTGATGTACGGCATTTAGTAAGCTCGTTCCTTTGGTATCGCGTTTATTAAGACCAATCAATTTTTACAGGCACACAATAAGTTCAACATCACTTGACTTCTTGCTCAAACTTCTTGACACAAGTAATGGATTAATTGTTTGATGAATGCATTATATATCTCTTCTAATACGGGATTGAAATTTACAACAAAAGTAAGCATTTTTACCAGCAATGAAACACGACTTATTAAAAAATTAATAATATTTAATGACTTGTAAACTTTATACTCTTGACTATGTATAAATAATTCACTAATTATAGCAATTGTGAAGTATTTATATTTCGATCAGATTTATTGCTATAAAATCATTACAAAATACATGCAGAGTTTAAGCGTCTGTTTTTACCAAGAAATGCGTCAAAATTTTATTGTTTTTGAAAGAACAGAGCGTCCGATTTGAATGATTCAAAAAACATTTGATGTGTAATGATGAAGCAAAGAACTGATGATTATGAAGCTGAAGAACTATGATTTTTGTATTTCATAGATTCGTATTTTATAGACAAAATATAAGAGCTTATAAATTGGACGATGACGTTTATATAAATTTACATGAAAAGCAAGTGAACAAAACTTAATGAATGGGAGTTAAAATAAAGGATCATATGATATAAAATGCAAAGTTAAAATTATTTATTTGAAGTATATAAGTGGGCTTTAGAATAAGCTGTTAGTTTAGCAAGAATTAAAATTAAAATCCTAATCATTTACGAAATTCAAAAAAAAAATGAGAAAAAAGTGCTTTTTCCAAAAATAATCGTTTCGTCAATACAAGCAAAAAGTTTTTGAATAATTCAAATCGCATGAATCGTTCACTCAAAAAATGTCATTTTTTGCACATTTAGCTCCGTATATCTGAAACGGATGACCTGTCTTTTTAAAAAACTAAGCACCGCTTCACCCTTTATCACGAATCGAATTTTTGAAACCCTTTTTGAATTCAAAATTTCATTCAAATCGGATGTTCCGTATACTCTAAAACTCGATTTCTATTTTCTGCACTCTTTGCTACGTATCTCCAAAGCGGCTGGGCCAACTTTTTCAGCACTATTCTTTTCAAAAACTAATCAGCACATTTTCTTATCAATGAGATCGAATGCTTTTTGAATAATTGAAATCGGTTGACCGGTACTCCCGAAAACGTCGACGAAAAATTTTATCCATACATATATACATACATACTAACATACACACACACATTTTTTCTAAGGTATGCCAAAATGTTCAGAAACTACTAAAACTTGAAGATATGCAAAATTTAAAATTTTCAAAAATCTATTTTTTTTTTAATTTTTCAAAAAAAAAAATTAAAGCCTTTTAAAAACCTTATTGTTTTAAAATATAGTATCAAAATCAACTGCATAAATATTAACATTAAATAATCTAATGTATATATATATATAAATTCTCTTACATTGTATAGGTCCACAATCATATTTTCCAAGGATTTGCATGTAGATTGTCTATATTAAACGATAAATTCTCCAAAAATATGACGCAGTACCTGTGAAAATGATCAATTTTTATCATTTTTGCGCACTACATGGTGTAAATATAATTAATAAAATATATATTTGCAATATTATATATCATATATAAAATTCTTCTTTAATGATGTGTGAAAGGATACTCCTCCTAAACGATTATTCGGATTTTGATAAATCTTTTTTAAGTTTGTTAAGGGATTTTTTTTAGGATTTTGTGATTATAGAAATATAGTTAGATATTATATAGTTAGGTAGAAATAAATGAAAAAAAAAAACGCTTATCATTGTTTGACCGTTGTTGACTGTCAGTAAATATACTTTATATAATTCTATTTGACAGATTATTATCTTTTAACTAATGCAGTAGTTTTTTGCCTTACGTTACTAAATTACAATACAAAAATATACTCTTTCAAAAAATTATTTAGAAGTTCTCAAAAATGAATATGTTTGGCATTGGATACGTAATATTTACTCAGTCAATGGAGCGTGTTTAGTCTGATTTTTTTTTACTGTGCTCCAATTTGTATGAATTTTTGGAATTAGGTTTATCTTACTCTCAAGTTCAAAAGTGAAAATAATTTAGACTCCTTTGCCACTTCCCGGAAGGATGACATCCCTTCTAAGTAGTGTAATTTTCTTTTTCTTTTTCAAAATAACGTCGGATATCGATAAAAAAACTAATTATAAGAGAAAAATGTTTTTCAAAGAAGCAAATACTTTTCAAATTACTGGCTACTGAAAATAGTTTTTTTCGTTTTTTCACAAATATCTCCAAAAATATATATTTTAACGAAAATCATGTAATTAACAAAATTATATCAATTATAATCTTAATAAATCGATGATTTATAACGTGTCCTAGGAACAATATTAAGCTAGATGTGAAAAGCGTTTTTTTATTTCGTTCGAAATTTAATTGTTGTATTTGAAGCCATCAAGCGGCGAGGTTTTACATTTTATATATTCCATGGGGCACCATTTTATAGTGCTCAAAATAAGCTGTAAAATGTGTACTGTTAAAAAGGTCTGCTTTTTTATTTAGATCAAATAGTAATATGAGTGTCATTTCCAACAAAAATAAAATTAATCGTATTTCATCTAGAATTAACTTGGTTCCAGAGATTCCAAAATATCACGCAAATAAGTAATAATGTATATCGAACTATTATTAAGAATAAGTGGGACATATGGCATCGTGCCTTAAGGCAAATTGCTGGAACTTCCCGTACCAATTTTTTTTTTTTTAAAAAGACATTTTTGAAAAAAAAATTCTCTGAAAAAATTAGATTTTTGAGAACTAAATTTTTGACAAAATTTACTTTTTTTTGAAAAAAAAAAGACTTTTTGAAGAAAAATTTATTTTGAAATATT